TGGTCTTTTTGAAACAGGGTCTCCCTGTAGCCCCAGATGTCCTGGAACTCACTATGTGGACCAGGCTGGCCTTGAACTCACAGAGATCTGCCTGCCTCTGCCTCCTAAGTGCTGGGATTAAAGGTGTGCACCACCACACCTGGCTATAGTATGTAATCTTTAGCATTGATAATTGCTTTTAAAGTTTCAATTATATGTTTTATATTTTTCCTACAGAGATAAAACACCCTACTGGGGTTTGAATCTGAAATGTGCCCCCATATGCTCAAATGGTTGAACACTTGGTCCCCACTTAATGGCACTGTTGTAGAAAGTTCTGGAATCTTTAGGAGGTGGCACTTCATGGGAGGAAGTGGGTCACTGGGTGAGGAGGTTTGAGGTCTTACAACCCAGCCCTATCCCTGTCTGCTCTCTGCTTCCTGACTGCAGATGTAATGTGACCAGTCACCCTAACCCTCCCACCTTTCTGCCAAGATGGACGAGACCCTCAAATCATGAGCCACAATAAACCTTTTCTCCCTTAAGCTGATTCTCAGGTATTGTGTCACATCAATGAAGAAACAACTACTACACCTTCTTTCTGAAAGTAATTTTGTCCAGGAAATGGGAATGTGGCTTGACCTCCTAATGCGGGTTCAAAACAATTGGTAAAATATTTTCAATTAGGTTCGGGCTTAAAGGGGACGTTTTATCTCATTTGGAAAAATTTGAAAAGTGGCTGTTTAAGAAGTATTGGGGAGTCAGGTGGTCACAGTAGGGACCTGTTAGAGACCTGAGGGCCATTCCTCTCAAGGCTTCTGTGACTTTGACTAGGCACTATAAGGGACCTTGGCAGACCTCCAGCCAGGGCTAGCATCAGCTGAGAAGTAAGACAAGAAGGCAGCAGTGAAAACATATCTACATAAGGCTTCCAGAAGCCCAAGGAGGGCTTGGAGCCACTAAGGGGTCACATGCTGTCCATCTGCTGAGTGGGACTAGAGGGCAGCATGCATTCCAGATGCCCATGGTGGAGGCTGCTGGCATACCAAGCATCACACAACACACACCAGGCTTCACTGCTTCCCCCAACAGAGCAGTGTGGGGTAGGTTGTCACCAGTAGGCACTGGCCTCATGGGCCTCCATGTGCACTGTGACTCTCAGAACAGAGAGCTTTCATCTGCCAGGACACTGTAAGGAGCCAGGCAGAGCTCAGGCAGAGGAAATTCTGTGGCTATCATCACACACTTCATTGTGAAATGAGGGATGGAGAGCAAGAGCAATACACAGGCTCCAAGACAGAGGCACCCTTCTAGGCAAAGACTTAGTGTTTCCAGTACTGGGGGACAACACAGGGAAATGAGGGGCCCAAGGACATCCATCCATCCTGGGATGGCACCACACTTGGGACTAGCCTTCTGTGTGCCACAATGCTGCTAACCACATTAGCCTTGAGAATGTGGAAGGTAACACTTCCGGTTACTGCTCCAGGTTACCCAGCGAGGCAGATAAGCTGAGAACACCTGCGGTCACCAGACACTGTGGAGTCTGGATCTCATTCGTGATCTAGATCATGGCCATTCCATTTCCACTGTGTTTTGTCCACTTGTATTACATACCTTAGGCTTAGACAAAATGTTATGCTCTCTACATGTGTACACTATCCATTTAATTGTGCATTGTACATAAATTTGACACACAATACCATCGTTACAGAGTTTGGGGGTCTTGAAAGATTTTTCCAGTGATGTTCCCTAACCCAACAGTGACCAGATCAGATTAGTGTTAAACCCTCAATAAAACAGACCAGACTGAAGTAAGAGAGAATGCTTAGGGCGTAAGATTATCATTTCTCAAATTTGGTTGTGCGTTCTAGCCTGTGACACACAATGTACGTTGTACGTAAAAGAAGTCTCAAGCCTGGCTCCTATTCTAAGATCGCCACCCAATGGCTGTATGGTTTGTATGCAAACCCTGAGCATGGGCAGATAGGTCCACTTCGCATGGGAACTAGTAGTCCTGGGGAGGAGCTGGCAGGAAGTTACAGACATGCAAGTTCAGCTCCTTTCTGGACCATGGGCCATAGGAGCCAAACAGCTGAGCAACAACCTCGTCGCACAGGGGACAAAGCTCAGCCCACAAGTTTCCATTCCAGACTAGCCCCTATGATCACATCTCTGCCCCCAGCCACTGCCTAACCCCCTCTTAAACAACAGCAGTCAGGGTCTGTGGAAGCCAAGGACTTGCAGCCCCTCAGTCAAGCATGGCAAGCAGGGCAGTCTGAGATCTGCCTTGTTGGGGACTTAGCCCACGTACCTTCTCAATGAAGTACATCAAAGGCTCCTTGCCGCGGGGAGAAGGGGGGTCCCAGCTCAGGACAACATAGTTTCTGCTGACCTCTGAGGCTTGGACGTTAGTGGGAGGCCCTGGAATCTGAACATCACCTGCAGGAAAAATTAACTGAGTGAGAGCTGTGTGGGGACCCTCAGCCATCCCCCAGCACAGCCCAGAACACTAAAGACTGCCCTCTTGTAGCCTGCTGAACTTGGTCATTTCTACTCAGAGAAGACAAACAGACCACAAGAGTTTTTTTCCATACCCAAAGCAAAACAAACCATTAAAGATCACTCCTCTATTTTTGTTTCTGATATACAACAGTTCATAAGAGTCTCAGAATCTTTCAGAGCTTCTGAAGGACAGAGGACAGGATTTTCCCGGAAGAAATCGGGCACCGAACCAGACTTGCCATCTTGTTAGGAATCTGCACAGAGAAGTGTACGGCTCAGCTCTGAGAAGGCAGCACTGCCAGAAAGCCCAGACCTTCTGATGTAGCCACACCATGGGCCCTCACAGCCCTTAAGTCTCACATCAGCTTCTAAGGCATAGTGCTTTTTCTTCCCTCAGAAGATCCGCACACATCTGCAATCACTGCAATTTGTGCGTGTGTATTTGAACTTCAGGAATGAGTTTGATAAACCCTCTGCAAATAACTGAAACTTACACGCAGAGACATCTGGTATACCTACTTCTCCTTTTACCTTACATCTTTTTAAATACAATGCGGTGTTAGACATTATTTGCATTTGTGAGAGATTTTCATAGGAGTGGAAGTTTTCTAGATCCGAGGGCCCTTTGATTGTGATACAAAATATTATGAGTTTCAATTAGATTAGCACATGATTAAAATGGCTTGAACAGTCTGCAGGACGTTGCTCTGCCCTTCACAATATCCAGTTGCTCCCCTGGAACTCGATCCAGGAGACAAATTGAACAGCCTCATGGAAACAGCACAAAACAAGATTGAGTTGCACTCCCAGAGTCCCTTCATGGAGCACAGTGAGCTCTAGAGGGCTCAGACTGATCTGGTCAGCGGGTTGAATTTCATCAGTAGTCAGCAGCCTGTCTCCAGGAAAGTCAGGGAGACAGAGGGTGACTTGGGGAATGGGGAGCAGCCTCTGAATAAGTGTAAGCAAGATAACCAGAGAGAGAAGACCCAGGAAACCCTACAGAGCTCCCAGGACTGTCTCACGTTCAAATGGAGAAAACCGAGTACAGCTTTGTGGGGGCACCAGCCAGCCAGAAGCAGAATGCTACACTTCAGAGCTGAGATATTTCAGTGTGTTTGGGGGCATACAACCTCTGGGCACAGGAAAAATGGACTGAGAAAACATTTTATATGATGTCAAAGCAAGGAGAAGGAATCCCAACTATGAGCAGGAAGCCCCCAGAGATGAAACTCTTGAGTTCATAAGACTTGCCACCTTGGGGGAAGCAACCATGGGGCCCTCACAGATCTGCAGATAGCCTAACCACAGGCAGAAGGGACCAGGATAAAAACAGCTTGGAAGCCAAGGAGGGGACAAGACTCACAGAAACACACCTAGAGTGAAGGGAGAAGTCTGCAAAGACAAGAACAAGAGGAAATAACCAGACCCTTTTCCCTGCCTTTTTCACTGTGGGGCCAAGTATGGCTGGTTAGTTACAAAAGCCCTTGGTGTCTACTTGCTTCCTACCCACAGGGTCCCTTAGCCCTGACCCAGTGGGCCATGGTGATTATGGGTCACAATGGAGAGACAGGTGCATGTGTCCTGTGCTATGAATTCTTACATACAAACATACTTCTCAGACTAAAATGATTTTGCTAATAAATATATGTCATGTATCACTATGTTTTATGCATGATTTTCATCTGGTTATTTTAAATCTTTCCATGTCCATCATCTGCTTTAGCCCTTGGAAGACAACACTGACCAGCTCCAATGCAGAAGAGGAGTCTGGACACTGCCAATGTCACAGTCACTGAGTGGCTAAGCTGAAGTACAAGCTTTGGGTTTCTGGGTCCCATCCCTGGGCTTGTCTCCTTCACCAACCCTGGGAAACCACAGCCACCATAGAAGAACTTCCTATAAGTTATTAAAACCTGAGGCCGATTTGGAGATTGTAGAGGCCAGAAGTCAAGCACATGTGAAAAATTCAGGACAGCAGGCTCCAAAGCAAATAATCACCATCAACTAAACACATGAGCTGCAAACATCTGGTCCAAACGGTTCGCAGAAGGCATAGATACATAATTAGTAGAATAAAAACAATCCTGGAGGGGAAGCAGGGTGACTGAACATGTGAAAATGTTTGCTGCACAGCCTGATAACTTGACCCACATGCTCTAGGCTCATCTCTGTTGATTTGACCAAAAGCAACTTAGGGGAGGGATGAATTTATTTCATCTTATAGGTCACAGTCCATCATTGAGGGAAGTCAGGGAAGGAGTTCAAGCAGGAACTTGAAGCAGAAACCATAAAGGAATACAGCTTGCTGGTTCACCTGATCCTGCTTAGCTAGCATCTTATTTAGCCCAAGACCACCTACATGGGGCATGATGCCACCCACAGTGGGCTAGGCCCTCCTACATCAACTAACAATTAAGACAATTACCCAAAGACTTGCACACAGGCCAATCTGACCTAGGAAATTCCTCAATTGAGATTCCCTTCTCAGATGACCCTAGGTTGCATCAAGTTGACAGTTAAAGATAAGTAGGACATACGAAAGGTGGAAAGAGAGCCAACCTACAAAGCTGTCCTCTGACCTCCATATGTGCACCATGATACATTCATGCCAGTATATTCTCTCTCTCTCTCTTCTCTTCTCCTCTCTCTCTCTCTCTCTCTCTCTCTCTCTCTCTCCCCTCCTCCCTCCCTCCCCCATACACACACATACCCTATACCCTACACACATGCATACATACCACATTCATATTATAATAATAACACAGTTTAAAATAATTAAATAAAAATCAATCGGCGTATTGTACAGGAACTTGTCTTGTCCTTTCCAAGAATGGACTGTCCCTTTTCAGTGGGTAATTGAAGAGATCATGGAAAAGGTAGATGATATCAAGGAAAGAGAATTGACGTGGCATTTTGGAAGGGATGCATTAACCAACTGAGGAAGAGAAAATGGTTAGAAAGACAACAAAAAGCTAAAAAAGCTGAGGTTCCGTTTTTAACCAATAAAGATGTTTCCACATCATTAAAACCAGTGTCTAAAGGGATGTTTAAACACTCTTTTTACTCAGCTGTGTTCAGTGGTATAAATCTTGCTTAATATGTACAAAGCCCTGGTTTGATTCCAGAACTTAAGGAAAGAGAGGAAGAAGAGGGAGGGAGAGAGGGAGGGAGGGAAGGAGGGAGGGAGGGGACAAGGGCTAGATTATGTGAAGGTGGAAAGGGACCTTTGCTAGGAGCAAATTTTTGAATCCAGATATGATTTGTTTAAAACATAGACTCTCTTTAAAATCTTTGAAGATAAAGGAAGTATTCACGCTTTAAATGACCATGGTGTGTGGAGTCGCTCTCCAGCTCCTCTCCACCATTCCAGTATCTTCATTCATAGCCAATTTCAGGAGGCCATCAAACAATTCTCCACCTGGGCCCTACCCTCCACCCTCCAAGACCAGCCACATAAACCTCAAGGGCTGGCTGGATGGCTCAGCACTTAAGAGCATTGGTTGCTCTTCCAGAGGATCCAAGTTCGGTTCCCAGAACCCACATGGTAGCTCACACCCATCTGTAACTGCAGTTCTAGGTGATCTGACACCCTCTTCTGGCCTCTATAGGCAGTGCACGCACATGGTATGCTTACATATATGCAGGCAAAACACTCATACAATAGAAAAATATATAAATAAATAAACAGGCACTTCAAGAACACCTCAGGGTGTGAACAAGACTCTGCCAGGACCAAGAAGGGAGCCACCCACAGCAAGGGCAGGACAACCAGGAAATGAGGTGCGGAGGAAACAGAATCCCTGACTGCTGCTGCTGCTGCTTCCGGCTGAACATCAGAGCCACCGCACAAGGCAGGACCTCCACTCTACCCGTGGGCAAGCCCAGTGCTATTTCTGTGCAAATGTTCTATTTCTTTATGTGATGCATTTCGCAGTGTATCCATGCGTATAGGAAAAGGTGGCTGTCTCCTCAGACAGGCAAGGCTGGAACATCCCCGCCTTAGAGAATTGTATCAGACTCTGTCACTGCAGTGCCTCTGGTTTTTGAAATGACCACCACGTAATGCAGATTTCATCACATCAGGGCATCTATGAGACATCAGGGCATCTACGAACAAGCTGCGCCTTCTCACTGGGGCCTTTGTGACCGGTGTGAATTCCACTGCCCACACGGGGTAAGCACACAGCACTTCCCCACTAATCCAACATCCCATGAGCGTGAAAGAGAACTCCTTCACCCGGCATGCCAAGCTCCCATTTATTCAGGCTGGTTCACAGCAAGACCATTTTCTCCAATACAACTTGGAGCCGTTTCTCAGTTGTTCCAATGTGAGTTTCAGCCATCAGCACAAGGTCGAGAGTCGATTCTGTACCACGAATAGCACTAGGCTGAGGAAGCCAAACATTAAGTAACATTTTCCTCTGCTAAAAATTTATCAAGTGCTTCTTGTGGCTTTGGAGATCTTCCAGAGGCATGCGTTTGACTAAGCCCACCAGTGCCACCGTGGGGTCACCTCTGCAGAACCCCCATGTACTTTTCATGGGATTAACTGTCTCTGTGGTCAGGGCTTGTACACACTCCTTCTAAGGCCCTTGAGGAAAGTATTCACAGGGCAGAAGACACACACATGCAACACTGCCCTTTGGGGTGTGTGTTCAGCAAATCCAAAGATCAATCAGCAAAACTCCAGGCCTGCAGCTACCTCAGAAGGGATCTTTTGTGATTTTTTTTTTTTTTTTGATATTTTTGAGACAGGGTCTCCCTGTAGCCCCAGCTGGCCTGGAACTCACTAGGTAGACCAGGCTGGCCTCGAACTCACAGAGATCCACCTGCCTCTGCCTGCTGAATACTGGGATTAAAGGTGGGCACCACTACAACCAGGATCTTTTGTGATTTTTTTTAACTTTTTTTTTTAATGTGTATGCGTGTATTGCCTCCATGTAGGTAAGTGCACCCGTGTGGTGCAATGCTCGCGGAGGACAGGAGAGGCCATTGGATCCCCTGGAACTGGAGTTACAGTTGTTAGCTGCCATGTGGGTGCTGGGATTTGAACCCCGATCTTCTGCAAGAACAGCCAGTGTTCTTAACTGCTGAGGCATCTCTCCAGCCCCCTTTTGTGGTTTTAAACAAGAGCCACTGCTTAGACAGTGACTTCCAGCTAATTTGCAACCTTCCTCATTGTGGGTGTAGGTATGTGTATGAGGGTGTGTAAATCAGAGGAAAACTTTCAGGAGTAAATTCTCTCCTTCCACTCTGAATTTCAGGGATCTTGAACTCAGGTCAAGAGGCTTGCAAATCAAGTGTTTTTACCTACTAAGCCATCCGACCTGCGCTGAAATCTTAATTTTTGGTTTTCACTTACTATGTTGTGATCCGACCATAAGTCCAACTAAAATCTCAGGTCTTTTTTGCTCATAATATTAGATTTGCCTTCTGAACACATCTTTCTAGGTGTCTCATATTAATGGATGAATTCACAGTATCAAATGTAAATAAAGGAAATGTTATCATTCAAAGCAAAGAAATCACTTGATGGGAGCATCACAATCCATTTCTGTTAAGATGTTCGGAATAAAACTTGCTTTAAAAGGTAACAAAAGGGGAAGAAATGGACAGATGGCTCAGTGGTACAGAGATGGCTCCGTGGTTAAGAGCACTGGCTGCTCTTGCAGAGGGTTCGGGTTCAGTTCCCAGAACCCACATGACAGCTTAATGGTCATCCTTAACTTCAGGAGATCTGACATCCTACCATGGGCTCTGTATGCGTGTGGTAGGTACACTTACACCATGCAGACAAAACACGCATAAAATAAAAATATTTTAAAAGGTCAAAAAATTAAGTAAAATATTCTCCAACTAAGAGAGTTAATTATTGCATGGGGAAATAGCTCCATTGGTAAAATATTTGTCCTATAAGCATTAGGACCTGAGTTTGAGGCCCGGCACCCATGTAAAAAGCCAGGCATGTTGTATATACTTGTAATCCCAGTGCTGAGGAGGCAGAGACAGGCAGATCCCTGGTATTTGGCAAGCTCCAGGCCATTGAGAGAGAGACTCTGTCTCAAAAAAGGGGGGACGGGGAGATGGTACACTGAAGGTTGTCTTCTCGCCTCCATATGTGCATGCATGCATGTACACCCATAGGTACAAGAAAAGAATTAATATAAGGACCCAGCATCAGCTAGGAACCCTATGTCAGCTTTAGTTTACAGAAGTTCCTGGAAGATACATTTGTGGCCCTAACCAGAAGAGTGAGACCCAGACTTACTATACCTCAACCGTGTCCTCCTCTGCCCTCAGCCTTGCTTACTGTCCCCCCTCCACCATCCAGGCTGGACCTGAAGTGCTCATCTTCCTGCTCACATAACTACTGTCAGGAAGGACCCCCTACCCATCTCTCATCTCTAACTAGAGCCCTAGGGTCTGCACAGCTGGAAAGAAGTGATGTGTGCCTCACCTTCAAGCTCATCCTGGCAGATGACGATTTCTTTCTCTCCCTCCAAATGAACTGCTGCAGAGAGAAAAGGCCACAGTGACGTTGACATTCAAAGGTCCCCAAAGGAAGTATGATTTCCCTAATTTGGGGCAGGACCTGAGCTGACTCAACACACACAACAAAGCAGTTCTTGGGGGTCATGAGAGTCGGGGTTTTGGAACCGTTCCTGGGAATTCTTAGCATGCTCAGCTCTTTGTACAGGGTCAAATGACTGCCAGTAAGAAGATGCTACCGTCTCCCTTAAACCGCAGTGAAGGGTCCACATGAAGAAACCCATGCCATGGGAAATTAAAACTCAGACACAGAGCAGTTTGGTGTCAAGGGCTCCAAGTCTCTTTGTTATTAAAACTGTATCATCAGGGCTGGAGAGACAGCTCAGCAGCTAAGAACACTGGTTGTTCTTGCAGAAGACCTGGGTTTGAATCCCAGCACCCACATGGCAGCTAACAACTGTCCATAACTCCAGTCCCAGGGGACTCGACAGCCTCTTCTGACCTCTGTAGGCAGTGAACGACACGGGTGCACTTACCTACATGCAGGCAATACACGAATACACACAAAATAAAAACAATAAATAGAATTTTTTTTAAAGTTTAAAACTGTATCATCAATGGACAGGGGAAGGCCTGGTCTGAGCAGTCTAAGATCTCAGTGAGTACTCCATGAAGGGGAGGAGCATTTGTTGTAAAGCACAGATGTCAGTCTGGCCACTGCATTCCTAAAGGGACATGGATAGAGACAACGTCTCCGTGCCAAAAGGGGGCACTGATGGAGATGTCAGAGAATGGGAAAACATTGCCCTGCCACACTCAACACTGGACAGCATGCTTAAGGCTTGCATGCAGCGGACAGTAGAGTCACATGCAGATGGCCCACAGCTTCCCAGTCATGGCTAGAACTTGAATGAGCATACCTTGCAACCTTCTGAGGTCAACAGGGTCGAGGGCAGCCACAGCATCGGACACCCGGGAAGGCCGGCTAACACCTGCGTTATTCACTGCCCTCACGCGGAACACATACGACCTTCCTTCAAAAAGTCCCGTGACCGGGTATTTGCAGATCTTTACTGGTGCATCATTGCACTGAACCCAGTTGTTAGTTCCTACCTCACATCTTCATATGAAAAAAAGTAGGAGAAAAAACACACATGGCAGTCAACGAAATCCTCATAGGTGTAGTCCTATGTATCAGGCATCACAAGGGGGCATGCCACATGGATAAAAACTATTGTTGAGATACTGACTTACATGAATATTGTAATGTAGGAAACCTAAAAGATATTTGGGAAATTCAATAGCTATCTCTATATGTATCTAGACCTATAGATACATAAATAGATACACACACACACACACACATGTATACAGACATACATAGATGACAGAAAGAGACCTAGATGCACTAACAGTTACAGATGGATAGAAAGACAACCTTCAATCTTTATAATTTTATAATTAAGGTAATTCCTGCCATCGAGCTTGTTTAAGCAACATCTACTTGAAATAGTTATTTTAGACCCAGTATTGGCAATTCTCTTTCCACCTCAGGTGACACAGTCACAGGGTGTCTCCCCAGCTTGTCAGGTGATGACATCTGAGCCATCTTATACTATGGTCCTATGTAGGCAATATAAGCCCCATTTTTCATAGATTGAACAATTTAAGTACAAAGCTTCATGTTAACTCCCCAGCAGAAAACAGATCAGAAATTAGTCTCTCGGGCTCTTCCAGTTGTAAAGCTGTACATTCACATCAGAAGTAGCTGCACCTTCACCTGTTTGTCCTGCGGGTGACGGGTTGGACTTGCTACTGATCAACAAAGCCCAAATTCTTTTTCTACTACCAAGGATTGAACCTAAGACTTCATGCTTGCTGGTTAAACACTCTACTGTTAAGCTATATCCCCCAGCAGCCCCAATTTCAATGTGAAGCCCAGTGGGGTCACTAAGGGCTCAGCTTACTATGTTATCTACCAATTACCTCATAAGGGCACTGACTGACCAGACAGTGATGATTCCCCCAGGAATGGCAATGTCAACTTGCAATGAGAAACATGTCTCAATTCCTTCCTTGGTAGTAATGATTTCATCAGGGCATCCATCCCTAGGAAAACATGCTCTCACCTGTCTATAAAGTAGCCTATGACAGGGCTCTCCGTAGTGGTGTTGGGTGGTTTCCACGTGACGATGACATAGTCTCGGTTGGCATCATGGCACTGCAGGTCCATGGGAGCACCAGGAGCCCCTGTGACCAGTGGGTCGGCATCTGTGATGGGAAATACATTCACTTCACTCACAGAGTAGGGACACTGCAAAGCCTGCCCACAACACCTCCAAACTCACATTCTCTCTGCTTTGTTCGATCCTTATTATCACATTATTTGAATGCCATTTTAATCTGGCAAACTGGTGTCAAGAAATGTAAATATTTATATGCATTTTTAACTCAGAACATTAAACTGCTTGTCTGGGTTTTTTCGTAATCTGATCCAAAATTAAAATTCACCTTCTCTTAGTTTTATGTGCACACATCATATAAGTTGTCAGAAATTTATTGACAACAGGATAGTGCCCTAGTCTTTGTAATATCTGAGAAATATCACCCAAGTCACTTTTGCATTTAAAATTTCTTAGAAAAATGTGGGAATTAAAACCAATTTTTCACAACTTGTGGGCAAATGTTTGAGTCAAGTTCTCCCCAGTTGCTTTCACATAGTCTTTAGAATCATGATGTAGCGTTAAGTAGAGTTACACTGAAGTTCAGCAGAGCTGTAACTTTAATTATAGTTACACTGAACATTTAATTTACTTATCTGAAATCAATATTTATTCAATAGCCATGGCTTCTGTGTGCCCTCCGCAGTGTAAGCATTCTATAGTGTCTTTTCCAAACCTCCCAGCAAAGTAAAGGCTAGGGATTTATTGACTTTGGGCTAAATATTTCCTTTCACATTCAAAGCCTCCAGAAAGTAATCAGAGCAGTTAAACTCCCCCAGGCCCGCATCATTTTCTTCCTACTGGTGATACTGAATAAGTAAGGCTATCGGAGTCGGGTTGTACTCAGTGCGCTTTTATGGGCAAAACATCCTGCCAGACCCTACAGGAGAACGGAAGGCACTTTTTAATGCCAACCCTAATAGAAACCACAGAACCTTGTGGAAGGGGCTGAAATACATCCCTGAATGCTTATGTGTTCCTGTGGGAAGTATGGGGGAATGGGATGCATACTTTTGTTGCTAAGGTAAAATACATTCTCAAAGCAGAACCCTCCTTCAAGCTCTGACTGCTGTTGGGAGGAAATCTGATATACTGATGGCTCTCACATCACCCACACCTGGAGCTGCAGATGAGTGAGGTGAGAACACAGTGCAGATGCAAGCTAAAGGTGGCTGGCCACACAAGACAGAGCAGGGCAGCCTCTGGTGATGGCATCCAGAGCCACTGTCGATGGTCTCCCCAACAGGGTCAGGAAGGAGATGACAGAGGGCAATCTAATTTCTATGAGCCTTGGTGCCTCTACTGGGAAGCAGAACATCAGTAATTATAAAGTTACTATGAGAATTTTAGATGGACGGGGCTGGAGAGATGGCTCAGCGGTTAAGAGCGCTGGCTGCTCTTGCAGAAGACATGGGTTAAATTCCCAGCACCCACATGGCATCTAATAACAACCGTCTGTAACTCCATGTCCAGAGGAATCCAAGGCCCTCTTCTGACCTCCATGGGATTGCATGACATGGGTGCAACATACATGCAGGCAATATACTCATACACATAAAATAAAAATAATAAATGAAATTTTTTTTAAAAAAAAAAAAGAATTTTAGATGGTCAGGGCTGGAGAGATGGCTCAGCGGTTAAGAGCACTGGCTGCTCTTGCAGAAGACCTGGGTTAAATTCCCAGCGCCCACATGGTGGCTAACAACAACCATCTGTAACTCCATGTCCAGAGGAATCCAAGGCCCTCTTCTGACCTCCTCAGATTGTGCAACACAGGTACACTCACAAATATGCAGGCAATACACTCATACACATAAAATAAAAATAATAAAATTTTTTAAAAGAATTTTAAGCTGGGTGTGGTACCACATGCCTTTGATCCCAGCACTCAGGAGGCAGAGGCAGGTGGATCTCTGGGCCTTCAAGGCCAGCCTGGTCTACATAGTGAGCTCCAGGCCTGGGAGACCCTGTCTCAAAAAGACAAAAAATAAATTTTAGATGGTCTGTATGTATCATGCATGAACAATACGTCTATGCACACCCATATACATGTACATGATAAGTATTTCTGTACATGTTCCCACTGATGTTCTCTGACACTGTGCCTGGTTTCTCAGGAAATGTTCTCCTTTTCACAAATTAAAGGTTCTTAGTGAGACTTTGGTGAGGGTTAGATGTAGTAAAGAGCACTAGGCCAGACCCAGGGCTTTCAGTAACTGCTGAACACTGCGTTGTGACCTTTGTAAACAAGAGCTAACTGAAGTCAGCAAAGACGAAAGACACACTATCCTAGTCTTGCCTGACCTTGTCGTAGAATTTAGAGAAGGGCTAACAGGCAGGTGCCCGCTGGATCCTGGTACTCAGCTCCACACAGGGGAGTATGCCCATGCCACACACTCTCTCTGAGGTCCTGTTCATAAGCTCTAGGATGCTGAGAACGGTACACAGCAGGGACCGTGCTTCTGGCCTCTCCCACTGACTCATCAAAGTATCTTCATGATGACAGGCATCCGACTGCCTCTCATGCAAGAAGGAGCTATTCCTTATCAGGGACCAATGCCCACGGTCCGTCTTCCGACCCCTCTTCCTGTCCCCTCCACACTATGTAAGCTCCTCCTACTGCACACTCAGCCCCTCCCACCAGACACCTCTGACAAACAGGAAGGCACTGTGATCGCTGACTCCACCCCTGGACACAATCCTCAGAGTGTACAGGCCCTCATCATCCTTGTTCAAGTGGCTGAAGGACAGTGAAGCCTGGCCTTCTCCAAAGAACATCTTCGTCCACTTGGACTCTTTCAGCAGCACATCTGAAACAGCATCAGAAGTCAAGGTTAGATTCAGATGCCTCCCCATCTGCTCCAGGACTCTCCTCCATGAAGTTCAAGGTCACTGTCAGGGTGCCAAAATAACCCCTCCCCTAGGTCTATTTTTCTGCTGGCAGCTAACACACAGGTAGAGATGAGGGTCAAATCAACAGTCATGCTAAGACCACTCCTTCCTGGAGGACTGACAGGTGGCAGAAGCCAGGAGTCAACATGTCAGTAGTGACCCCAGGCCTAGTGCACCACAGCACTCACCATCCCGGTACCATTCAGCCCGAGGCTGTACTCTCTTCAGATCTGGTGTGACCAACAGCGTGCACTTGAGTGTGACTGTCTCGCCTTCTCTTCTGAAAGTCACCCCGAATTTCTCCAAAAATTGGACATCAAAGTGAGTATAGGGAGTCACGGACGACAGCGGCACTGCAGGGAGCAAGGCGGACTGTCAGCACCCACACGTGTGTGCGTGTGTCTCACTCAGCAAATGTACTTGTCTACTGACAGCTGGATGCTCCCTCACCTTCTATGATGTTCATGCTCTCTGAGGGAGTATGTCTGAGGGTCTGCAACCCCCAGACTCATGTGCTGTGGCCCTAACTAAAGGGAAATTACATTTTTTTAAAAATCCTGACTGGTTATAAAGCACTTTGAGCTGACGAGCCTTATCGGAGTGTTGTTAGCCCATGTTTCGAAATATGGTCCCAGAACATACTGCCTCCATCCAGAAAGTGATCCCTGCCCTACAAATGAGTCCACCCACCAAAAGAGACCTTTATTGAACAATGTGGGCCCTAAGTTCTTTACAACCCCCTAATCTCTACCCCCATGGCTCTATTTCCACAGACTAACATACTTAAACTCCCCTATGACTTGACTGATAATGACTACAATCCCACTGGTCAGCTCCTGCCCCTCAATGACAATAGTAGAGGTCAATCTGGATTGTCAAGGTTGGATGCTTTCTTTTCTACCTGTGACTCCTTTCCTAACACTAACCTGCATGGTACTAGTTAGTAGGGCATTAGAGGAGATTGGGGTTAGATACTGTCAGGAGGATGGACCCCGAGATGGAATTGGTGCCCTTATAGAGGAGGAAGAAAGCAGGCTTTTGTGCCCCAGGAGGACCAAAGAAGGACCATCAGCAAAACAGGAAGCAGCCTCCCCAAGACCTCACACTGACACCCTGAGATATCAGACCCATGGGCAATAAAGGCACCTTGACAGTCACTCACCTGTAATATGGCAAATTTGTAGAGTCAGAAAAACAGGCTATTCTATCATTAGAGGGATGGTCACACAGAGACTCAGCTTAGACTTTACTATTTACAACAGAGGGTTTACATCCCACCTCAGCACAAGGAGAGGCTTGAGAAAGTTATGTGTTTTCATCTTCAAAATAAATTGTAGGACTGTCCTTACCAGAGTGTCATTTCATAGCAAGTCAAGTAATTAGTATCAGTCAGAGGTATCAATCAGAACCAGATTAAACCTCAAAGGTGTTTGGGATAGCATGTGCATGATTCAGAAGAAAAGCAATGGGCCTTTCACATGCTAGTCAAGCATTCTACCACTAAGGTATATCCCAGGTCATTTGCTTGTTGAGACACAGTCTCACTGTGTAGCTCAGCCTGGCCTTCAACTCAAATTCTTCCTGCCTCAGCCTCCTGAATGCTGGGATTACCAGTGTGTTCCAAGCCTAGCAACTGAATTTTTTTAATTTTATTTATTATTTTTATTTTATGTGTACATGTGTATTGCCCGCATGTAGGTAAGTGCACCCATGTCATGCAATGCCCATGGAGGTCAGAAGAGGCTGTTGGATCCCCTGGGACTGGAGTTATGGACAGTTGTTAGCTGCCATGTGGGTTCTGGGATTCGAACCCGGGTCTTCTGCAAGAACAACCAGTGTTCTTAACCACTGAGCCATCTCTCCAGCCTCAGCGAGCAAATTTTTAAAACTAAAAACAATCTATGACTCACAAACACATGTATGTAAGAAAAGTTCAGAGACCACCTGCAAACGGGTGGTGATTTTTGTCTTGGGAGGAAAAGTTGGGTAGCCAGTGGCCCATCCCTGACCTTTAAAAATAACTGAAGCCTGGCTGTTCTACACATTTTAAAGGGGTTATTTTGTGCCATGTGAACTTGACTCTAATTTCAAAACTGCAAAAATTATAAAATATTTACATTTGCTGAAAATAGATGGCAAACATAAGAACAGCCATTGTAACTGTGATCTATAAGTGTATTATACATGTATAACTACTTCAAGTGTCTGTGCAGAAAGGTAAATTTTTAATGGAAGAAATCTAAGGATTTCTAGGGCAGATAATCTAGAAGATTCCATTCTAGATGTCCAGGGTGTATGGGACTCCAGATCTGCAGATCTCACTGTGTTAATCTTGACTTGTCCCCATGTACTTGGGGATATTGGCCAAGTGATAGACGTGGCCCATCCAATAAAAGTCATGCATGAACAACCAAAAATGTAGTAAGTGACTGCTAGCAAGATCTACCTTCAGAGAGAGATGGTTCAGAGGTTGAAAGCACTGGTTGCTCTTCCAGAAGACCTGGGTTGGGTCCCCAGCACCCACATGGTGGCTAACTGCAAACAACTCCAAGTTCCAGGGAATCCGACCACCCTCTCCTGGCCTCCACAGGTGTGCCTGATACATTATATACTTGCATACATGCAAATAAAACATACATACACATTAAATAAATATAAATAAATAATACGGATCTGCCTTCAGGAAATGTTTTGGGCCAATTCTTTATGTGTTTGGGCTCATATATAGATGGAATCATGGTCGAGTCAAAGCTCCTGTGGGAGGCATAACTCCTGTGGCAGAAGTACAGATCAACCCCATATCTTGTCCCTGAACCATAAGTGAGCCATGTTGGAAGCAGGTCCTGATCCCTGGTACTCTCAGCCTGGTGGCCTTCCTAATGCCACCTGACCTCAGCACAGCTCTCTGACCTCCCCAGGCAGTCAGCCTGGATCACAGAGACATGCATCTCTTATCACAGGGCCACTGCCGGACACTGTGACCAAAGGGGCCAAGCGAAAGCCAGTGGGTTCTCCCCTGAATTTCTGTGAGTGACGGTTTTACCAGTGTCTAGGAACATCAGTTTTCCAGCAGAGGAAATTGTCACACACTGGCCAAGGAAACCTGGAAAGGTGCTTAGAAATACAACTTTAAGGGGCTGGAGAGATGCCTCAGCAGTTAAAAGCAGTGAGTACTCATGCAAGGACCCACTTGGCGGCTAAAAACTGTCTGTAACTCCAGTTCCAGGGGATCCGACGCCCTTTTCTGTCCTCCATAGGCATTGCACAACAGGGGTGTACTTACATACATGCAGACAATACACTCATATATATAAAATAAAAATAATGAATAAAATATTTTTAAAACAAAATACAACTTTATAAAAATTTTACCCTTAGAAAAATAATTTTCACTTGTATGCTATGTCACTAAACATCTTTCTAGACAAGACGTCCCAGTGTACTTACGTCCAATCGGGAGCCCTACAGAATGAAAAGGTTCCTCATCCCCGTGGTACCCTGTGGAGACAGTTGGGTAAATGTGGGGATGAGGAAAACAAGGAGGCAAAGCTCAGCCTCCCCGACAGCACAGTGTACGCACTTCTGACCACCACTGCGGCATTGGTCGATACTTGTCCGTGGGCATTGGTTGCAACTGCTGAGTAGGTGGCTGTGTCCTCAAAGTTTGCCCTTGGAGAGAAAAAGAAAATGTGTGGGATGCTCTGGCAAAGTCAACAATCTGAACCTGAACAAAACATTCCTGGAAAGCAAACCCTGTGGCCAGAATCACTTGCGATTTGCTGGAGAACGATGCCAGTTCTATCTTGGAACGGCGGGCAGCACACGGTATTAATTATAGACACAGAGGAGCGTCTGATTCCAGACCATATCTGGCTTTGAGTCTCAGGAAGGATGGGGTACTTCTGGAAATCCTTACTTCATTCTCTGGGAGAAATCTCTGCTCCATCCTGGCCCTATTTTCAACATAGTCACGTCCATGGTTTTATCTCATCACAGACAAGCTTCCACAACGTCTATCTGCAGTAGAATCTTTCCCTCCAGGACAAAAAGATGCGCACATGCGGCAGTCCTGTGTTCTCCACATAGAGAAGGAATCTCCACAGAGCAAAGTGTGAACCCTAAGACCCTGACTGGGAGCTGAGCACGCGCTGGATCGAGGTGGCACAGGAGCTAGCACTTTGCCCTGCCTCCTTGTCTTATGCTCACATCCTAGGACTGCGCCTGCCACTGTTCCTGTTCTGAATTCCTCTGTGTATCAGTCTAACCAGACTGCTAAGAACTCCTCCAAGCCCAAGGCAGGAAGCAGAGCTTGTAACTGAGGCCTCAGCAGAGACCCACGAACCTTCCTAAGTGTGAGACACTCCACTAAACAACACAGCAGATCCACAACCCCACCTCAGTCCCCAGCAGGATTCCCAAACCAGTATGTAACATTGAGAATCACAAATGATACAATTCCCAGATTGGAACGACCCATTCAGGCCTCATCGACACACCCCTGAAGACATGAGCACATGTCTAACCCAGGAAGACCAGGGCTGAAAATGATGAGCACAGCCCTCAGGGTACAGAGAGCTCCTGCCTCCCCACTTCCATCCTTCAGAGGTGAAGCCACTTCAGTGGTTGTGAACTGCCTCCCTCCATGTGTTTCCCCAGGAAACCCAAGAGAGAGGCAGCCAGCTGCTGACCAGATAGGCTTTGCTCAGTGCCAGGCACCATTCTGGTAGATCCTTCTGTCTGTCTGCCTCTGTCTCTCTCTCTCTCTCTCTACCCTCTCTTCTCCCTCTCTTTTTCTTTCTCTGTGTGTGCCCATCCTTCCCCTCTCTCTCTCCCTCCCTCTCTCTCTCTCCCTCCCTCTCTCTCCATTTCTCTCCCTCTCTCATGTGTGTTGTGGTATGTATTGTACATGTGTACATATAGGTACATGTGTGTATGCATGCATAGGAAGGCCAGAGGAGATCCTGGTTGTCATTCCTCAGAAACCCATCTTGCTTTTGAGACAGGGTCTCATTGGCCTGGAGCTCGCTCATTAGTCGGCCTGGATGGCCAGTAAGCCCCGGGTTTCTGTCTGCCTCTGCCACACCCAGGCTTGGATTACAAGCACATGCCATGACGCCCAGGTTTTTTACAGGGATTCTGGGGATCAAACTCAGGTCCTCACACTTTTAAGGAAAGCGGTTTATGAACTGAGCCACCTCCCCAGCCCTAAAACCCTCAGCCACTGTCTTAAATAACATTGTCAAGGACCCTGGAAATTATCATGATAGAAGTTGGCTCTTGGAAAGATTGGGAAATAAGGTCTACTTGGCTCCAAAATTGTTCTTGCTGCTAGTTTCACTCCAAAATGGGGACACTGTGTGACCGTAATCTGGGAAAAGAGATAGTCCACTTTTGAGAAATGAAAAATTTGTCCAAGTCTCGCTTTAAAAAGCATTGAGAGGCCCAGAGACAAAACCCATTCCTGGAGGCCAAAGGTAATTTTACTTTATTCTGTTTCTCTGAGAGCTGAAAATATGTTATTTAACCGAACAACTTAATATCTCCAGGAATGGGGAGAGAAGTCTCTGAGACCTGTGCTGCCTGTAGCCCCGTCTTCCTCCTGGTGGTCCCAGCCCAATCTTGCTGTGCCAGGCATGCCATCTGGCTTCCTTTACATGCCAGTGTTCACAAAGAAGTCACACAGCAGCCTGTCTCTGCGGATACTCAGGCCAGTGCATCACGTCCCGTTCGCCTTGAAGGAATGTATACCAGCTGCTGCCCAACAGTTACAGCACGGCTCTGGTCTGATCTGACTAGGAAACCCTGCAGACACAGACCTACCCTGGGGCAATGAAACTGTGAGCAAAAGAGGAACGTCCTGCAATGTGGGACTTGCTCCACTGACACACACCAGCATTCTAGGCTGACCTGCTGTGGAAGTCAGCATGTATGTGCCCATCAGAACCGCTTCCTAAGTATGCCAGTCCAGGAATGGGGTTACTTCTCTATAGTGTCTGCAGGCTCCTCTTTTTCCATCGTTCTTTATTCTGTGCTGCTTCTTCCAAACCAGGGTGTTGTCATTTCATTAGTGCAGTCTTCAAACGGAAAAATATCCTCAGATACTGGCCCAAGGCCTGTCCCTACAACAGCCCCACCTCTAGCAACAGCAGAACAAATGATAGAAATGGGGGCAGGCTGACCCTACGCTGCAGGTCCTGACAGGCAGACGGGGAACAAGGCTTTCTGCAGTAACCGCTTGATCAGAATCTCCTGACCAACCCAACAGGGACCACGTGGGGACACAGGCACCCAAAGCAACTTCCTAGCAGAAAGCAGAGTTCAGAAAGACATCTGGGACAGGACTCCCAAGAAAGGAGGCCCAGCGATTCATGCCTGGACCACAGAGAGGCCTCAGAGGACGGTGGACAAGATGGCACCTGGGCAAGCAGTCAGCTGCATAGATTTCACAGCGTCCTGCTGCCTTTCTGGGTGTTAATATGAGGGTTTGCTAGCTGAGTCCCCTCAGTATACTGCAAATTTCTTCATTGGTGTTTAAAGCCATAGTAAAAGCCTGTGCTCAATGCATCAAGTACCCTTTACACAGCTAAGTACAGTATTAGAATTTGTGGTCAATCAATTTGTTTGTACCTGGGCCCTGATAAGGCTTCTACCACCTCCCCTGAACTGAAAGAAGTTCTAAGTCCTAAGAGTTCAATATGAAACTTGTTTCCACTTAGAACTCATCATCTTGGAGAAGCAGGGTTGGTATCAATACTGGGCAAGCAAAGTAAGAGCCACAGAGAACAGGGCTACCGAGCAGTCAGCCCAAGGATCGCTTAGTATCTGCACTTCCTCAGCTGAGCCCAAAGTCCTCATCGATCAATGTTATAGCAAAAGAACCAACTATGTTTTACGCGATGCTTGTCAGCCGCCTCCTTCACTAGGCTGACACTGATGATTAGAATAAAACAATGCACTTGAAAAATGCTTGCAGTTTTGTGACAGATCAAGCTCACATATTATCAACTAAAATGCATTAGCTGAATTCCTGAACCAAAAGTTGGCAGAGGATTCCTCACTCCTGTACAAAGCCTCCCGTCCTCCCCCATATTCCTACAAACAGGAGAGCTTTTCCAGCCCTCTGAGGACCACACTTGATGGCTGTTTTGCCATTCTTGAGTGGGGATGAGCTGAAAGGATACCTAGCAAGAACAAAGATTGTCACAGAATGGACCACAGGAAAGAGGAAAGAAATCTTGGAATGGACAGGCAGTCCCAGCTCCCAGCTTGCCCTGGACTGGCTCAGGCATGAAGATGGGACAGCGCCACCTAACACATTAGCTCCTCCGTTCGCCCATTAGCACCCATTAGTGCTATCGCTCAGAGCTGGGACACAATGGCACAATGATGAGAGAAGGAGCCAGAGCGGTGCCTGCTCTGCGTCCATCACTGCACTCCTATGCTTAGGAGCAGACCTTCAGGAGGAAGGGTCCACAGCTTCCTTTCTATTTGTAAGGAAGCCCACGACCCTCCAAAATATCAAGCCCCCTGTTTTACCACAGTGGTAGCTAGAATGGGCTTCCCTGGAATGGGGTGTCTCCCAGTGGCCGCTGGGTGGACAGGAGTCCAGGAATCCTTTTAGTGTCTTCCTTTAGTCTGTTCATTACAGGACTCTCCTTTGGGAATTCTTCAAACCATACAAAACATTGAAGCTGAGGAACACATGCAAATGATAAATCAGCATCCGCACATGTGCTACAGCAGGGACTAGAACACCCCATATTCTGCTAGGGGTGATGGGGTTGTAGGGTAAAAGGGCGCCTGGGACGGGGTGGGATGGGCTAGCGGCAGAGAGGAAGGCCAAGTGATATGGGGAGCTCCACCTGACTCTCATCCAAGCTAACCTAGAGACATTTCATTGACTCTGACCCCAGACCCAATGTGTCCCAGCGTCCCAAAGAGACCCTCCCCCCTGTTCCTCCCCAAGGCCTTACAGAGAATGTTTAGCAAACGCAGTCTAATTCTAGCCTTTGCTTCATGCTGAGAGAACTTGGAGGGTTTTACTTTCTGTTTGGATGAGCTCCCAGAATAGGCAGTTTTCTTCGGTCTGTTTTTACTTCCACGGGGAAGTAAAACTTTTGCCTCCCAAATTCTCAGTGTGAAGGTACCCAACACAACTTCCTGCAAGAAACTAATCCATTTTGTCTTTCTAAAAGATAAGAAGACAGCATCTTAGGTGAATTCCTCGTGGGTAGGCAATGCCCAGGGTCCTTAAATGGCAAGCAGTGTAGACACTAGATTTGTAGTTTAATTCAAGTAAGAACTTAAATATCAAAGCCTAAAAATTAAGTATAAGAAAAGCTTAGTCATGAAAATATTCTCCAAGGAGTGGACAGTGGTGATATCGCTAATTTAAAAAAAAAAAAATGGACTGTTACAGCCGGGCGTAGTAGCGCACGCCTTTAATCCCAGCACTCGGGAGGCAGAGGCAGGCGGATCTCTGTGATTTCGAGACCAGCCTGGTCTACATAGCGAGTTCTAGGTCAGCTGGGGCTACAGGGAGACCCTGTCTCAAAGAGACAAAAAAAAAAATGGACTGTTTTAAATGATCTTTAAAATACAAGAACAACAAAAATCCTTTAAAGAAAAGGGACTCTCAGTAGGGATCCCAAGAGAGAATCCTGAGTATATGCTACAATATAAATTAAAAGTTTAAGTTCAGAAAGTACCAAAGAGTGAGTTTGCTTTTCGGCACTTACAGAATTCAGCTGTGGGAGCCGAAGAATATTCATGGGAGCAAATGTCATCTCACAACACAGGGAAAGGCTCATTCCAGAACCAGCAAGAGGGAAGCACAAGGCATTCCACACCCGAGAATGCCCAGATCGGATGATGCGCAGCTCAGCACTTTGGAATGAACAGCTCGGCTGAGCTATAAATTGAGGGTTTCCCTTGCTCTTTTCCTAAAGAACATGAAATTCATTTCATCTGCTGAGATGTGTCCAGTAGGGAGAGAAAAACAGAGATGTGCTAGTTAGGGGAAGCATCTCTAATGTTGGCAGCTGTAAGGAAGGGGCCTTGGTGTCTGGATCATTCCACCATGATCTTCCAGGGACAGTTGAACAAGTCCATCCCAGCCATCTCTTTGTTCTATTTAAAGCTCACTTATCCCCATGTAAAGTTTGACTATTGCCAACATCAGGTGGGAGTGTGGCTATTTTCACGCTTGGTAAAGAGAAATGACATCTTGGCAAGAAGCTAACTGTTGCTCAAACCAATCTCCCAGGCCCACCAAGCCCAGAAAGCAGACACCCTGAGGACAGTGTCCTCCCTGAGGGAACTGGCATTGGCTTACTGCCCACCGATTCTTGGAAGTCAAGAAGAGAGTTGCCGTCCACAGAGTGCCCCAGGGCCAGAGATGTGACCTCCTTGCTCTTCAACCCTCAGAAAGCTGGTGTGGAATTCTGCCCACCTAGCTGGTTCCTGGCTTCTCCCCCTGAGCTGGACACCTGACCAGGACACCTGACTCCAACAGCAAGTCTCCACTCTACCTGAAAAGTCTCCCAAGGACCTCTTCCCTATTTTCCCTTCCTGCTCCATGCCTGGTTCCTTGGTCTTAGATTTCAGCAGGAACTCCATACTGGTCCACCTTGGTCCCCAAGTCTACTGGCAGTTAAGAGGGGTCCTTCAGAAATGAGACTAGATACTTTCCTCCCCAGCCTCTAAGCCCCTTCTCTCTTCAGCAAAGTCAACATCCCCAATAAACAGTCCCTCTGATTTTCCTGGCCTGCTTCTAGCCCCAGCACCCATGTACCTCACAGACAGTTGGGGATCCCTCACCTGAACATACCCCACAGTTCCCACCCAGTGCCCCCTCATATTGGAAGTTCCAGTTGCATCTTGCCAAGAAAGTGCTACGAACTGCTACCCCAGGCCCAGGCCTCTCCTGGCCATGTTATTCACCTGCACTCTGGGTGTGGGACACCCCATGGGCACTAGACAGAAAGTCCAGCTTCGATGGCTACCCACATGCCACCCAGAACAGCACACTGCACTGGTTCTCATTGGAGAGCAGAAGAAATAAACCAGCCGAGAGGCCAGAGCTTCCAGCTTGGGGGCAGGGCTTCTAGTTTAGCGGAGGCTGGGCAGCTGTGGCGGGGTGGCACTTGCACAGTGAGGACCTTGAGGGGCCCACAGCTCTGCAGGGTTCAGGGGCAGCACTACACTGTCCTCAGGCCACCAAAATGAGCCCAGGGAAGGGGCTGTCTCCCTAGTAGAAAAGCAGGAGTTGCCAAGAAGCTGTTAGGAAGAGGAGAAAACCTGGGAAAAGTAAAACCCCAACTCTGCTGCAGGGTCAGGGCCCTACAGAGCCTCCAGACAAACCAGGCCTGTCCTGGAGCAGGGCCTCAGGAGCAACCCGCTAAAACAGCTTTGCTTGGCTCCCTCTCTCCACCCTCATAGATGCCCCCCCCATCCATCTCCATCCCCAGGGATGACTAGTCACCTAGTGACACACACCCTGTCAGCAAGACTCCCACTAGAGGTATTTAGGCAGAACCCCTCCCCCTGAATCCACCTGAGCTGACATTCGGTCTGTGAACCCTGCCTTTCCTTGGCTCTGGCCCCATTCCGGCTGGGATCTGAGCACACGCCTGCATTGTGACGGCCAGCTGTCATTGTATGAATTGACCTTGTTGTCAGGAACAAGTGTCAGAATCATTCCTTCTTCAACAAAACCCAGTACATAAACTGTTTTTTAATTAGTAAAGAAGAAAATGCTTTTATTATAAGCACACATCCGGACAAAGACAGGAAGATTAAGTTTGTGTGTGGCTGTTTATGGTTTATGCCTGCGTGCACCTGTGTGTCTGGGTATGGCACATGTATGCCATCATGTGACTCTTCCCATAACCTCTAGGAGTAAGATTTCTTCATGTCTCAGTAGGTCCCCCAGGCTGGCCTGGATCTCCCAATCCCCTGCCTCAGCCTCCTGAGTACAGGGATCGCGGGTGTACCACCATGCCCAGTTGACTTCTGCTTTCTCTGGCTTTGTGCATAGAGTATGGGATGTGGCCCCAGTACACGCCAGTCCTGGGTCCTCACCTGTTGATCTCCAGCGTGTGCACACCATACTTGCTCTCAATCCGGTACTTCCCTGGTTCACCGGCCTGGCAGATCAGACTGCCGTCTTTGTACCTAGTGGAGGGAAGTACCCATTTAGTCTAAGTGCATAGGATTAGAAGCACCTGGTCCTCTTCCCGCTCCCCATTCCCGGCACCTCAGGAGAGTCCAGAGAGCATTCTGCCTCCAGCTTTCCAGAAGAGTCGGCATTTGTATCTTTCACACCATCCAGGCAATGCTTGAGCCACAGCAGACAGTGCTCCAATATCTGCTGTAACTTATGAGCTCAGAAGCTATCATTCCATTTTAAAAATATAGCTGGCGCTATCCAGGTCCCAGGCTGGCCCACAGTGCCACTGGAACACTCGAGGAACCAGATGTATAAAGCTCTGGTCCTAGAAGCTTTGCTCCCCACCTGTAGAGCAGGACTCAGCCACCACAAGGTGTGTTAAGGGTGAGTCTTGGGATCCTCCTCTACCTCCTGACACGGTGGATGGACCGACATGTAAGGTTGCACATCTCCTACTGAGAGACCCAGAACACGGGATATACACACAGATTCTTGATTTTAGTACCAGATGAGCAGGAAGGGTCTGTGATGCTTAAAGTTTTATCAGTATGAATTCTCTCCATGAGTACTCCCATATCAAAGCAGACCCCACGGGCCCCATACATAGAGTCAGCAATGATGCCAGACAATTGCTGAGAATTCTATTTACGAGTCTATTCAGGAAGCTAACTTTTCATACTCCAAAATGCTCAAAATTCTCTGACAAAGCAGCTGGGTCAAATCCCCAAAATTCAAATGACAGTGCATTGTTTAGACAGATATTTTGAGTTTCTGTGCTGACATTTCCCACATGGAGTTCCAAGCCTGCAGGGCCACGGGACAGGCTCCCAGGCATGCCCTCCTTTCATGCACATCTTCCTTGAAGAAAAGGAGCCCTGGGTGCTGCTCTCACCATTGCACTACAGGTGTGGGGAATCCTTGTACAGTGAAGCAGAGCTTCACAGACATCCGCTCCCAGATGGTGTGGGACCTTAGCCGCACCAGGATCTCAGGGGCTCTGCTCATCCGATCTTCAAACGAGTGTCTCTCCCATGCTAGCTTGTCTCCCACCTGCCAAGAAGAAGCAAGGGTGATCAGGGAGGGTGTGACAGACACAGTCCACTGGCAGTGAGGCATTGGACCATCTGCCTGCAGAAAAATGGTCTTCTCCCACACATTCCATCAGCTTGGAGACCCTCCTACCATCTGCTCCAGGGAGTACTTGTCCAGCTTGTCGCGAGCCTGGGACCGCGCCAGGTGTACATTCTCCTCCAGCTGGGCCAATTCATTGAGGAAACGCTGCCTCTTAGCCTCACCATAAGAAGCTGCTAAGGACCTGTACCTGCAGGAACCAAGAGGCTCTGTTTATCTCTTGACACATGACCAGACTTTGTGGTACTGATAGATCAGACAGGCCTTTCCTGGGTACCCATCCCTCTGGAGGAAGAAGCACGAGAAGATAATAGGAGAAATGCAGTTCTTTTTATTTATTTATTTATTTATTTATTATTTTTATGTATGTGAGTTATGCTTTCAGGTACATAAGCAAGTTCTTGACCAATTGCCCTCCATGCCCATCCCCTACTATTTACACTTTGAAACCATTCTCTCACAACAGAAATTCTCATTTTACAGTAAAATTAATTTACATGCTTTACAATTTATGTGGCACAAGTTACCTAAGGCATTTAAGAGCTAATTTCGCTATTTTTTTAAAGAGGAAAAGTTGTCTTTTGAGTTGTCTGCTAATAGGCCAGTTACTCCATCACTGTACAATCCTCAAAAGAAGCATGTTTACCCAAATCTCATGTGTCCTTCGGGTTTAGAGCTCTTTACAGAGAATTTCTCTGGAAATGTTAGGTGGAACTAGGGAAAATATACAGCAGGTCTGAAATATTTAGTTGCTTATGCTGTTTCAAAAGCAGGATCCACCAGCCGTTTATCACCTGGAATTAACTTTAAGACTGCTATTCTGGCAGATCCATCTTTGTCCTGTGACCATGCATCCTCGTGAGCCAATGCCATTGAAATATAAGCTGTGATGATTTATAGAAGCCTCACAGTCCTCAGTGTCCACAGCTGTTTAAGCCCTGGCTGCCTCCTCAGAAGATGACCTTGCTCCTATAGACAAAGCTACAGAGGCTGTGACAGAAACTCAGCTGTAGAGTCTACAGCTCTTGATGCCCTTGAACTCAGGGAAAGGTAGGGGTATGGGTGTAGAGGGTGGGCCCAAAGTCACATCCCAGCCCTGGCAGGCATGAGGCTGTAACCCTTGGACTACAAAATGATGGAGCCTCATTCCAAACCATTTCCATGTTAGGACTGACTACGGATAATAAAGAGCAAGCAAGTGATGGGAAAAGACGCTTTCCACTCATTACAGGAAGCCCTTCTGCTCCTCCCACCTGCCCAATCTGCAGCTGAGTTGGATGCCCGCGCTTGACTCTGCGAGCGGCCACTGAGCAAGGCCACAAAGCAGTTACCTGTCTTCATTTTCAAGTTCTTCCTCTTCTGATGTGCTCATACGTTTTGCACAGACTCTGCAGGTTGTCCCCCGAGTCGAGCTCTGACTGGAAGCTCTCTGGGAAGAGGACTGCTGTGTAAGAGACCTCTGGGAGGCTGACTGGGTGGTTGTCCTCCTGGCCATACAGTGAACAGAATTAGATGTGCTGGAAAATCATGAACATTTATACTAACACACACTACTTTCTCTCTGAACACACCAACTCCTCCCTGCAACACCCACACGTGTGCCGAGAGCCTATGCGCACAGGTGCACACCTGTGTACTCATATGCCCATGAGTATCCATGCATATGCATACATGTGCTGGGCACATCTGCATACATGTGTGTACACACATGCCACATACAGAGGCACACATACACTGATACATATACACACAAACACAAACAGGAACATGTATAGCCTGAGACACATGCACACATGCACATATACACGTGTCCACACTTCCGCAGGCACACACAGGGGCCCATGCGCATGCCTGTACACACCCAAACGCAAGTCTGCATCCCCGCTATGGCACCCTCCCGTGCCCTACACATGGCCCCTGCAGGATTGCTCCTTCTGAGCTCCCTGTGGCTGGTGCCCTCCCTCTCTGCCAGCCACAGCTGAACCACCCTTCGCGGCTCACACATGGACTTTCAATCTCTCTGCTGGGAGGGGCTGCAAATATTTGACTTGTTTATTACAAGGGATGCCAACTAAATGAGTGCCACAGCATTTCTAAATATAGGGTGCTGGTGACATGTGGCAGGCGCCCACCATGAGAGGCCCGGCCCAGAGGTCTCTTCCTGCTCAGTCCTCTAATCAGCCCATTGAAGCTACAGATACACTGCCCACAAACAGTGCCAGCGGGGCATGAGCTGCAGCCCAGAGGAGACCTCGTCCTTCAGGAGCGTGGAGCTGGAGATAGGACCAGGCAGCAGCCACACTCACGGGGAGACACCCAGGTGTCACACCCACACTAGAGCGGCAGCATTTGTAGGGAGGACACGCAGATGTGCAGTGCTGAGGTAGCAAAGCCGTCCCCGACGCAGCGTCCTTTCTGTCTCTGCTCTGCTCCCCAGGGGCCCCGCCAGTGTCCCGTCCATTGTTCTCCTCATCATTTTCCCAGATTCTGGGTGAGGTTTTAAGATCCCACTGCTGGAAGGTATGTGAAGTGGAGTCATATGGGTGCCAAGCATTCCTCTCAGGCCTCTCCACCAGGGGCTCAGAAGGGCTCTGAGTCCCCCACAGGGCCTGCAGAATGCAGTGACAACTCCAGCCAGATGGGCCAGGCAGCCCAGCCAGCCTCCTGTTCCTAAAAGGAATGTATGTATCAGGGTTGCTCCCTACCCTGCTCTCAGACCCCTCCACACACACAACTTCACCTCCAGACCTCAGGGCGGTAATTTCCTGCCTAGAAACACCAAACCCGCACACTCAGAGCTCAGTAAGTCCAACCTGGACCTGCCAACTTACTTTTTTGATGCATACTGGTCCAGGAGGTACCTTGTTTGAATGTTTCGATAGGACTGGTCAAAGTGCTTTTGCCTCTTCTGGTAGAAGGGGGCTACCACGAGGGACATCTTGGATGCTCCTGGAAGAGGAACGAGCAGGAGGAGTCAGGCCCCGCAGACTCTGCCTTCACGTTCTACATTGTTCCAAAGAGGAAAGGTGGGGCTCAGGCGACGGCTCTGTGGACGAAGTGCTCTTGATAACCCCAGTCGGTATCCCCAGCACCCTCGTAAAAGACTTAGAGGTGCACGTCAGTCAATTCCAGGGCTGGAGGATTACAAAGCAGAGAGGAAGTGCCCATGACTTCACTGGCCTGATCGCCTAGCAGATTTGGTGAGCTCCAGGTTCAATAAGTGATCTTGTCTTGAAAAAATAAGGTGAAGAAGGTGGAGAGTGATTGAGAAAGATGCCTGACACTGACCTCTGGCCTCCACATGCATACACACGATACACGCATGTATACATGGCACATACGTGAACACGTAAACACAAATGTACACCCACAAAAAAAGGAAGGAGAAAGTCTCCTCCTACTGATAAGACCCACCCAAGAGGGAAAATGCAGAAGACTATACAGGTAGACTCACAAAGCCTGCCTGATGACTTCCCCAGGACCCAATTTCATTTCTTGATAGTTTCCATACAAATCAGAAAACTTGGCCATATGCTTCATTTAATCACAACCCAACAGCGTTTCTAGAATACCTGTGTGTCCAGGGCACTGTGGAAAGCATGTGAGTAAAGAAGATAAAAATAATTAAAGCAGATTAGAGGCGCAAACAAACACTTCAAATGATAGGAGCCAGAAGCCACGTGAAGATAGAGTTCCCTACAGAGGACAGGACAGCCAGAGACACCCCAGCAGGGGACTTGGGCAGGACCCTGGGGAGCCACTAGGCCAACATGCAGAGGACCAGAAGACTCCAGAACTTGGGTCACTTGGCATGCAGCAGGAGGTTGCTCGGGGAAGGCTGCACCCACAAGGAGGGCTTCTAGTAGCTGATTCAGGGATCTTGACAAAGGCTCATTTCCCCAGCACCACCGAGGATCATTTAAAACCATACCACAGGCTTCTGCTGGGAGAAGGGGCTGGAAACTAGGGACCAAGACAGTGCCGGAACCTCAGAGATGTGGGAAAGTGAGCAAGTCCAAGACAAGAGACTCTGGAGAATTGCAGAATTACCTGTGTTCATTTATGTCACATCCTCACCCCAAGTTAGGAAACCCTGCCAACTGAGTCATTTGACCATCTCCCCAAAGCTGTGCAGGGCAGCTTTCCAGAGTCTCTGTGAGCCTTACTCTCTTAAGTAAGACCTTAAAGAACTCCGAACCTGAGCTCTGTGTGTTCAGTGTTTAAACTAGAGTAAGCTGTCTTGAGTTAGAGACGTTCCAGCACAGCCTTGAAAATACCACTCAGAGGGGACCGCAGGGATGGGCCCTGGAGATGGACACTCAGGAGCGGCTCAGAGAAGACGCTGTCTTACTCCTGTCGTCAGCATCATTCGGACATCTGTATGTTAGAAAATCCACCAAGTTGCATGGCTGAGCTAAAGTATGAGCCTCATGAGCCGTTCCACTGAGCCTATGGATAGCAGAGGTACAGAGCTTGGGGAGATCTTGGGGAATTACCCAACATGGGTCCAGCCCACCCAAAGGTCAGTGGCCTTCTATCTCAGGTCCACTCAAGCTTTGACACAGTAGCGTGTATCCATGTCTTCTCTTAAAAACCAGGTTGTTAACCAGCCTCCTATTCAGGAGGCCAAGTGTGGGTTGCTCAGGGTGCTATGATACACTGGAAATGTACAAAAAGACACTGCGCCCTAATGAGCACACAGAACTGACCTCCGCCACCCACTCAACCCTGAAGGGGAACACAGAGGTCAAGCCCCAGGCTTAGACACTAGGTCCAATCTCTGACTCTAGCCCTGTGATGTAGGCTTGGCCTCACTCCTAATCTCTCCAACTCTGATATTCCACACTGAATCTATGTAATACCTGGCACCGTGCTTGGTACAGAGTAACAAACAACAGAATCCATGGCTATGTCTGTCACATGGTCATGTGTCTGTCACATGGTCATGTGTCTGTCACATGGTCATGGTGACACTGAACTTCATAGATAGGAAGAAATACCTGAAAGCTCCCATCACTTTAACGTGGAAGAGGCTCAACTGCACCTCGGCAAGGAGAACATGCATGAAAGGTCGGCTGTACAGCTGCACTTACTCTCCTGGAGCTGTGCCTATGTGGGGACTAAAGGCAGACCGGGGAATTTGTTTCTATCTCTTTGGAAAAAGAAGAACCCCAAGCATGGCCTACATCCTAGTCAAAGCTGCCCTGAAAGAGAACCAAGCACACTTGACTACGCTATGACTATGTTATTTATGTGAGACATAAGATGACTCAGGTCTTTACAGCCCAATGACCAGCCTCCATCTAACTAATCTGAATGTCTCACCCAAGGCTATAGCGCAGGCAGCATGCAGCATGGTGTATCTGAAACCACCTCACACGTTGTCAGGTGGACTGGAAATCTTCAAACACTTCATGCGTGAGGAGTGCACACTTTGTAGTGATTAGGCATCAAGTGTTCAAGTTTCCTGTGCTTCTCACTCTGACACAGGGGACCCAGTGTAGATATTTCCTCCAGACACCTTGACAATACACTAATGCCCACTTTGCTCCCTCCTGCAAAATCAAATTAGGAGCTGCCAAGGGCTCTCCAAGTGCAGACACACTTCAGTGTACCCAGTTTCCAACCCACAGTCCTTTGGAACACCAGATACATGCTCACCCATCCTGAAGCCAAGAACCACTGGATTTCAAGGAAGACACTTCCTAGGGCTCCTGGCTCGGCGAGGAGGCAAGCTGGACCTGTGCACTTGACCCCTGTGCCTGGGGCCCTCAGCTCCACCTGTCTCCTCAGACTGCCACCAGTCTCACGTCCACCCAGACCTATCACAAGAGGAGCCCACAAGGGACCTCAGTGTGCTTTCTGCTGCCATTGCACACAACCTCAGGCTCTCATACTTCAGAGCCTGAGACAGGATGTGTTCCCAGCCCCAGAAGCATATTCTTCTGACTTAGGGAGTACAGTTTGGGAGTATCAGATAAGTAGGTGTGAAGGGGTCTTTGGAGAGCTTGTCCAGACTCATTCTGCATTTGTCCTCTTTAAGAAATATCTCTGACATGAGTTAAGTGCCCCCTACACACACACACACACACACACACACGCACGCACGCACACACGCACGCATGCGCACACATACACGCACATATATATATACAAAAAAATAAGGAAAAGAGTCTTTCCCAAAAGAGCAGAGTCTGATGATGCCTTGGAGAGAAGGAACAATCACAGAACTGGATTCTGGGGATCCCAAGGCCTGAACCCCAGAGCTCTGGGCCTCCACGTGTTTCACTATAAAACCAGGGGACTGAACTAAGTGCCAGCATTCGTCCTCTAACCTCTAGCAGTGCATGTGTCCATGGCAGTACTTAACTAACATCAGAGACCATGCTGACCAGAAATCCCAAACTATGCCAGGCAAGCATGCCCTGCCCTGAGGAATGGCACATCCCTGTGGAGCCAAGGTCAGCAGCTGCTCTTCTGACAACTCCCAGTCACTTTCTGCCTCCGCCCAGATCAGGGACCACACCCCAGTGGTCCTGACACATTTAGACACTATGACACCATCATGAAATACGAGCCTGTCCTCCAGCACTGGACTGCGTGTCTGTGATGTGCCTTGCCCTAAGCCTTCCCTGGAAGGGCACTGGAAATACCTCTTTCAAGTCACCGGGTGCGGTTTTAATTTGCAAAGACATTTCAAGTTCAAAGCATCCATTCTTATCCAATTAAAAAAATTATCTATACAGCTAAAAATGTCAAAGTTGATAGACACATGAAGTGGGGGAGAAAGAGAATCAGTTGGCACACAGAACAGACTCCAAATGACAAGCTCTGGGTTCCCAAGATGAGTTTTTTCCCAACCCACTCATAGTGAGACTTATTTGTCCAAAGGGTTTTCAAGACTACGTATTGCCAAAAGGACCTCTTTCTACCAAAAATATCAACTGGACACAAAGCACATCCTTAGGGATATCGAGGATCAGTAAGTATGGCTGGGTTTTCCAGAACCCTCCAGCAGCCTTTGAGAGGCCTGACAGAGGATAGAGAGGTCAACCCTGTTGCACAAAATTCTTGACTCTCTGGCAAGTCTAACTGGTTCCCACTAATCCTTGAACAGTTTTGTAACAGTGTTAGACATTGAATTCCATATGGCAAAACTTCAGAAACACAGAGCAGGGCCGTAGTTCACAAATTGAGAATTAAGTTAACAGTTATCAAAACTGCATAAACTTTTATTGATAGCTTCCCCTTGTACAGAGAATAGTCCCTTGGGGTTAAGGTCCTGATTCATGTGAGTTTCTTATAAACTTGCCACAAATTTAATCTAATAAACAGCTTTCCAGAGCACTCTGTAACTGTCCCTTACTTTTGCTCAGTTCTGTCATTTGCAGAGCTAGAAATGTCTGTCAGTGAGCACACCACATTCATCTCCAGAGGCAAAGGGTGAGCTGGCTCAGGGTGTTGGCCTGGTTCCCAGTGACTCAACCTTTGGCTCCTAGGACAGGCTTTGTCAGAGGACCCAGTTTATTCAATATCACCTTTAAAGTGTCTTCATTCCACATGCTCTTTTGTTCCTGTTTTTCTAGCACTCAGTAAGGAAGGAATGTGGGGCGGGTGTCAGGGAAAGCTGGATGTTTCCAGCCTCACGTCCTCTTTCCTCACCCTTCGCCAGCCTGGCCCTCAAACGCAGCATAACTATGCCCCCCCCCCGTCCCTCCTGGCAGGTGCAGCCCTTGCACACAGCTCTGTGTGGGGAGTGGCGCTGGAGTTCTGCAGGATCTGAACTCCAAATGCACAAGGAAAGGTTCCACCCGCAAACAACTGTCCTTTCCCAAAAAAGCTCGCACCTCCTGCCTAGCCCGCTGAAGGTCCAAGCTGAGCAGTTCTTATTGTGCTCCTTTTCCAGTTGGCCGCCTTCTCACTTCATTTCTGGGTCCCTGTGACAATCTCAAATCAGACATGAATCAGCTGACAGGGGGCAGGTAGGAAAATGCAGGAACCTAAGGGATACAATCTGCTCTGAGGAAACATCAGGTCATACAACAGAATGGCCCAGAACACAGGGAAATAAGAAAACTCATGGGGTCGGGGGACACTGGGCATGTAGCTCAATCAGCAGAGTGCCTGCCTAGCATGCACATAGCCCGGGGTTTGAATCCCAGCATACACGACAGCCAGGTGGCACACATCTGTGATCCCAGCACTCGGGAGGTGGAGACAAGAGGATCAAAAGTTCTGGGTCATCCTTAGCTGCACAGCATAGTTCTAGACCAACCTGGGATACCTAAGATCCTGTCAAAAGTAAGAGAAAGAAAAGGTAGAGAGGGGAACAGAGGTAGGGGACAAAAGGAAAGGGAGGGGAGAGGAGGGGAGGGGAGGGGAGGAAGAAAGGAGGAAAGAATGGAAAGAAGAAAGATCTTGGTTGGGGATAGAGTGCAGTCAAAGGCACGCAGACCCTGGATGGAACCCTTTGCTTTGTTCCTGTATAAGGAATGCCTGCAGGTAACTCTGCACCTAACCTGACCCCATGGGAAAGCAAGCCTGCTCTGCCTCTGCAGGCATGCTTCCTCTTGCCGAGCTACACAGAGAAAGGGGAGGAAAGACTCACCCAGAGGAGATGGGACGGCACAAGAGACGTCTCTGTTGCAGAACTCCCAGACTCTGGCTGAGGACAGCAGGGCTAATTTCTCCCTGCAAAGCTCCGTCCTTCCCTCCCATTTATGGCCCTAGGAGGTGCTATATTTAGGCACGGGACTGCCTTTCCCACACCAAACCTGTATCATAAATCACCCGCCTGCTTGCCAGAGGAGATGCACCAGATGCACAGGGGAAAATCAAATTAGGACGTTTGAAGTGAAGTAGAAGGTGTGGGTTCCCACTCCCATCATGCTCTGCTCCTTCCCCTTCAGCCTCTACCAGGAGGAGAAGACAGACACCACAATCCATCCACCAGACTCGGGCAGGGATGGGATCCCAGATTCAGACCCGAAACCTCAGGCATGTGTTCTTGTTCACTGAAGGCTCCTTAGGGTTCTCTGGATGAACATCCATGAGCACATGTACCACCTGTTAGCCAGAGCACCTAGATCCACAGGTGCCATTGGCCATGTGCAGAAGGGGGGAGCAGGGAACAGGGTGGGGGCAGCAGCCCAATATCAGAGTACCAACCTCTGTGTGTGTATGTGTGTATATGTAAGTGTGTGTGTATAGGTCTGTGTATGTGTGTGTATGTGTGTATATGTAAGTGTGTGTGTATGGGTCTGTGTATATGTGTATATGTGTGTATATGTGTGTATGGATGTATATAGGTGTGTATTTGTGTGTGTATGTCTGTATATATGTGTATATGTTAAGTGTGTGCATGGGTGTGTATGTGTGTGTATGAGTCTGTGTGTACATGTGTATATGTGTATATGTATGTGTGTGTTTATGTATATGTATGTGTATGTATATATGGGTGTGTATGTATACATATGTATGTATGTATGTATGTATGAATGCATGTCTATGTGTATATGTGGGTATATTGGTCTATGTGTATGTGTATGTATCTATAGGTCTGTGGGTGTTTGTGTATATGGGTGTGTATGTATGTGTATGTGTGTGTATGTATGTACAAATGTGTGTCTTTGTGTATATGTGGGTATACTGGCCTATGTGTATGTGTCTATGTGTGTCTGTGTGTGTCTGTGTCTCTGTGTGTGTCTATGTGTGTATACGTCTGTGTGTGTGTCTATGTGTGTGTGTGTGTCTGTGTGTGTATGTGTCTATGTGTATTGGTTTCAGAAACTAGTTATCTCGTGACTTTATCTTGGATAATTTAGCAGGAACACTCCACCCAAGCAGGGCACAGCCTGCTAGACAAGCCAGGTTTTATTTGCTGGACATCACCCAAAACTGCATGGAGAATTGCAGATGTCCATCTTTTCACACAGCATGTGTCCAAATATAAATAACACGCACCTGGCACAGTCTTATTGCCAAGAGGAGGGGCCTAGGAGATGGCTGTGGCCCAAGGACTCCAGCCAAACCAGTAAGCCCTGCCAAAGCTCTGCATGGTCATCTTTAGTCATATACCATAGCAACCACCTTAAAGTTCTTTGTGAAAATTAGAGAAAATCATACATAAAAAGTACCTGAAAACCTTTACAAAAATCCATGCTCCCACATCTGGTTTATCAAAGCAAGTTGAAGGATGAGCAAACCGTGTACCAGAAAGACCCCGAGAACAGGCTGCTGCTGTCTTTGTCCAAGGCCCTTTGGATGGTTAGTCAGGGACTGTGCACATTTATTCTCATCTTATCCCCACCCCAACACCTCAGTGGCTTAATGTATGGCTACAGCTTGATGGGACGTCAATCATCTTGAGTCATAACCACTACAATGGCCCCACAGTGACCCTGAACAGCTTTTCCTGCAGAGTAGCTAGCAGACTAGATCTAGAGGAACCGCTGGGTGGGTGCAGAGCTTCAGAACTGGCCCCTGCACCAGGGATGTGCCTTACTCTTTGGTGCTAGTTTCAGATAAACCCAGTGAAAGCACCTGGGTCTACAGTCTTCACATCTTCCTTCTGACCTAGTTATAGGGTCCACATGGTCTCGCTACCACCAGGGACCAGGTTCCTGGTGGTAAGTCCTGGACACATCACATTCTGTCCTGGATCTGTCTGCATCCTTCATTGGGCTCAGTGTGTGCAGTTCTTACAAACTAGGACTTTTCTGGAGACTTAGGAATTCATGTAATAAATGTGTGTGGAGACTTCCCAGTCCATCAAGGCTGCTGCATTGGAAGACCACAGCCTGGGGGCTTTAGGAACAGCAGGAGCTCACTTTCCACAGTTCTGAGGGCTGGAATTCTGGTGAGGGCAACTTTCTTGTTCATAGACATAGCCTCATATTGTGTCTTCACATGGTGGAAGGAATACAGAGTCTACAGGTGCCTTTAAAATCAGCTGCAAATCCCACTCCCCAGGGCTCCATACCCATGACCTCACCATTTTGCAAAGCTCACAGTCCCCTCATAAGTATGGCATTGGAGGTCCACAAACACTCAGCACAGTGAGAAAGTAGCAAGGACATGCTGTTTCTGTGTAGCAGCGTACCCTCCTCAGGAAACCAACTCTGCCCTCACCTTGCATGTCCAATCACAGCACTCTGCTCTTACCTGTGTGTAGTATGGATACAGAAAAGATGATTATAATGCCTGTCCCTACCCAGAGGAATCCCAGGCACTGGGTCCCCATCATTGATGCTCCCAGTCCCATCTCATAGGGGCATCTTCCTGAAAGGGTCCCAGCTCCCCATCCTAATATTACTTTATTGATTTAGTGTGTGTTTGCGTGTGTGTTTCTATGTATGTATGTATCTATGTATGTATCTATGTATGTTTGTGTGCATGGAGAGACCGAAGTTGACATTGGGTATCTTTCTCAATCGCTCTCTGCCTTATTTTGTGAGACAAGGTCTCTCTGTTGCCTGAAGCTCATCAATGTGGCTAGACTGGCTGTCTATCAAGCCCCAGGGCTTTCTGTCTCTACCTCCCCAGTACCGAGACCACAGGTATGCATCACTGTGCCTAACATTTTTAAGTGAGTTCTGGGGGTCAAACTTGGCTCTTAATGCTTGCATGGCAATCACTTTATGCCTCTGAGCAATCTCTCCACCCCAACCCCAATCCTCATTTTAGATGTCAGTGTTGCACATGGTCCTCTTTGTTGCAGGAAGCCAGTTCTTAGGACACTGCATCTGAGGAGTCCTCAATTTCCTGGGCATGTCTGTCAGAGGTTAGAACCCTGTGCTAGGACAGACAGAAGAGGTTCCTGGTGGGTTTTAGATGTCAGTGTTGCACATGGTCCTCTTTGTTGCAGGAAGCCAGTTCTCAGGACACTGCATCTGAGGAGTCCTCAATTTCCTGGGCATGTCTGTCGGAGGGTAGAACCCTGTGCTAGGACAGACAGAAGAGGTTCCTGGTGGAAGAGGACCATGTCTTCCTCTGGGGCCACGTCTCTTCCTCTCTGTGTAGGATATATTTGTCTAAGCCAGCCTTTTACTCCGTCCCTGACACCTGCCATTGGCCCCTATACGGAGTGGACTTGCCACAGACTGAACCTTGAAGAGTCCAAAAACAAGAGACAAAAACCTAGATCACGGGCTTGCCATGGGATGCCGGCTCCTTCAGTGGGTCCTCAGGAATAAGACCAGCTAACCCCTTCATCAGTGAAACTTAGGGCTGGGTTTCTGTCAAGGGCCACCAAAAAGTACCAACTAATACAGAGAAAAAAAAAATCAGTGATTTTATGTGAAAATCTACAGCTGGAACTCACAACTTATTAAAAAGTCAATAAGAAATGCGCCATGACATAAAAGGAAGGGCCAAAGACCAAAAGGAAGGATCAGAAGTGTTTCAGTAAAATTCTATGATCTTTAGTTTGTGATCAAGATAAGTCCTGAGGGTTCGGT